GAAACATGTATAAATGAATGGGGCTTGTGAGTACAAGGAGCCATGGTTGCACAGTGGTTAAAGCACTCAGCTGCTAACCAAAAGGTTAGCAGTGCGAACCCACCAGCTGCTCTGTGGGAGAAAGATGCGGAAATCTGCTTCTGTAAAGATTTACAGCCTCAGAAACTCCATGGGGAAGTTCTACTCTGTCCTGTAGGGTCACTATGAGTTGGAATTATCTTGACGGCAGTGGGTTTGGTTTGGGTTTTTTTTTCTGTGAGCACACTGCTCATCAGTGAGTCTTGGGCATAGGTGTCTGTAGAGGATTGGGCAGCCATGTGTTAGGTAAGTAGACAGTGACCTGCTCATGATGGGGCCGCATGGCAGACAGAGATGTTTGGGTTTGGTGTGGGGCTGACAAGAAGGCATTAAAGGGTTGTATGCAGGGCATACAACATGAATAGCACTGGGTTTAGGGAACACCCTTTGGTGTGGATGACTGATTGAAGGGATATAGAGAGACTGGAGATAGGTGACTGGTTAAGAAGCCAATGGCTTTGGAGTCCACAGTGGGATGAAAACAACAACCAAGGGTCATATTTACAATAAGGAAGGCCTAGGTAATCAGAGTTTCTTGTGGAAGAACTTTTCTTATGGTATCTTAGTCCCTATAAGAAGTCCTTGGGTGGCACAAATGGGTAAGTGCTCAACTACTAGCCAAAAGGTTGGTGATTTGAACACATCCAGAGGTGCCTTGGAAAACAGGCCTGGAAATCTGCTTCTGAAAGGGAGTAGTTCTACTCTGTACACATGGGGTTGCCATGAGTCAGAATTGACACATGGCAACTAACAACAACGGTCCCTGTAAGACATACTCTTTGTATAAATTCCATACATATCTGCTTACTATTTCCAGGGACAGAGTATCTTCAAAGAAGATACCTCCTACACAGAATGGAGGGCTAGTCATTGTCCTCCAGGTGCAGCTTGAGCTATCATAAGAATAGGTGAGGGTAGACAAGGGCTTCTCAACCTCAGCACTATCGACATTTTAGGCTGGATAATTTTTTGTTGTGGGGGGCTGTCCTGTGCCTTTTAGGATGTTAAGCAGCATCCCTGACCTCCACCAACTGGATGCCAGTAGTATCCCCTGAGTTGTGACGACTAAAAATGTCTCCAGAACTTGCCAAACATCCCCTGCAGAGCAAAACGCACCCTCGTTTGAGACTTACTGGATTAGACAATGGCAGAGAGAAAGTCGAAAGTAAAATGTATCCTGAACGTTGGTGTTGGAGTAATTGTCTTGTTGGGCCATTGGGGTTTTTCTCTGTCTACTTCCAGAATTAAGAGAGGAGTTGGCCAGGATTTGAAATCTCTGTATCAATCACTGAGCTCAGTGTTTCATATTAATCACAACAATCCTGTGAGGTGAGATTTCTTTTATCCTATTTTACAGATGAAGAATCTGAGGGACAAACACTCTAAATGCCCATAAGCAGAGACAAAGGAATGTGGTATATTCACACAATGGAATATTATAGTAAAGAAAACAAATGAGCAATAGCTACAGGTAACAACATGGGTGAATCTGAAGTAACATAATGTTGATTGATATAAATAAGCCCCATAAGACCACATATATATCTAAAGTTAAAAAATGACACACACACATACATATACATACACACATGTGTATGTATCTATTATATATATAAGGGACTAATAAACAAAAATTCAGGATAGTCACTGCTAGTCAGCGACATACAAAAGACTAAAACCCCTTCTGCCTGAAGTACGTGTTTTTTATGCATTACCGTATTTCTTGGTCTGGTCACAACAGCCCTTGGTGATACGCTAGATGTGGTTAGTGCCTTGAATCACAGCAAAATGGATGTACTCTCTATTGAGAGGTTTCTTTAAGAAAGGAAACACGATCTTACCCATGAATAATGTGCTCCCTTAAACAATCAACGATGTGAGACCAAATCATCAACATTTACCCAAGAGCAAAGATGAGAAGGCAAGGAGGGGCAGGGAAGCTAGATCAATGAAAACAGAAAAAAACAGAATGGAAATAATGAGAATGCTGACACATTGTGAAAATTGTAATCATCATCACTGAACAATTTGTGTAAAAATTGTTAAATGGGAATCCAATTTGCTGTGTACACTTTCATTTAAAAAACAATAAAATATTTTTTAAAAAAAGTAAGAAGAAAGGAAACAAAAGCAGGATCACTTCGAGACACACTGATTGTTTAGAAACAGTAGAAGTGGTAGATGTGAATATACGATATTGGCACCTTTCCTAGGATGAAGTCTACATGATTTCTCAAGTATATTCGTGTTCCCATTTTGATTAACTTCTTTGGTAAGACTGCAAGTATTTCCCCTTGAGAGATGGACAGCTTTTGGATATGGATATTCAGAATAAGACCAGAGCAGGGTCTTCGTAGATGCCAAAATGAACAGAGACAAGATGGAGGGCAAAAGAAGTGATTGATGCTGTGAAAGAAAAAATAATCACAGAGGAAAAGCATTTTAAAGACATGGGGGAGGGTTTTCCAGGCATTGTCCCAATCAGAAAAGTTTCTCTTTCTTTTAAAACAAAGATGAAGAAGATGTCAAGAAGAAAACATTTTGTAGCCAGCATTTTTGCAAAGTACCTTTCAGAATTTTTAGCATTTTCAATAATTTGTGAGACACCAATAAGAACAAAAATAACCTGAGCAAGAGCAATGCAGTTGATGAAATCTCCATACTTTGAGGACTTATGTAATTAGCTAACATGTCCAACAGACCAAGTTAGTAGCTGTTATGGATTGAATTGTGTCCCCCCAAAATATCTGCCAACTTGGCTAGGCCATGATTCCCAGTATTGTGTGATTGTCCACCATTTTGTTATCTGATGTGATTTTCCTATGTGTTGTAAATCCTATCTTTATGATGATAATGAGGTGAGATTAGTGGCAGTTATGTTAATGAGGCAGTACTCAATCTACAAGATTAGGTTGTGTCTTAAGTAAATCTCTTTTGAGATATAAAAGAGAAAAGTCAGTAGAGAGACTTGGAGACCTCATACCACCAAGAAAGAAGCACCGGGAGAACAGCACATCCTTTGGACCTGGGGTCCCTGCACTGAGAAGCTCCTTGACCAGGGGAAGATTGATGACAAAGACTTTCTTCCAGAGCCAACAGAGAGAAAGCCTTCCCCTGGAGCTGGCATCCTGAATTTGGACTTCTAGCTCCTAGACTGTGAAAGGATATATTTCTTTTTGTTGAAGCCATCCACTTGTGGTATTTCTGTTATAGCAGCACTAGGTAAGTAAGACAGTAGCAGAGCCAGAAGTCAAGACCAGCCCTGTCTGGCTCCCAAAGTCATGATCTTTTCACGCCATCATGGACCTCCAGCATGAACCAGGCCAGCATGTGAACTGATGTAGGATGCTGAAATTGGTGATGCAGAGCCAGGACAAGCCCAGAGCACAAGGAGCAGGAGCAGGAAAGCCCCTCACGAATCCCTCCTGGAAGGGGTTGACTTAATACTAAAACCAGTTTGCAGGGATGTAATTCTATCACTTGACTTTTGTATTTTTATATGTATAGAATTCACATGCTATAGGCTTCATAGTATGAATTTAATCCTTCTTGATGAAATATGTTGTAGTTTTTTAAATTTGCAAATTAAAAGCTTATCTTGGGATGTATTGATAAACAGAGGTAAGTATTTATACCAGCTTGATCCAGCTGATGATTACAGTCACTGGAGTGGCAAATGATCCCCTGTGTGGAGCCTGGGCAGCCTGCCTGTGAGCCAGTGTGCTGTGGTACAAATATCACACTTTAATCACTATGTTAGAATCCTGCCCCACAAAGTCAGGAAGTCTAGTAGGTGGTTAAGATCAGAGGTTTGCAGGTCAGATAAACCTAGGTTTGAATCTTGTTTCTACTCATAACTTGCATAATACTGGGAACATGATTTAAAGTCTCCGAGTTAGTTTTAACACTTCTAACATAGTGATGACAACTATAATTACTACCTAAGGTCATTGGGAGGAGTCAATGAAAAATGTCGTCAAGGGC